AGCAGGTCCCAATAGACTGGCACAAAAGGAGAGACCATAGCAAGATAATGTCTCCCCTTGTCTCTCACTGTGTGTCTCTCCCAAGTATCTCCATAAACCTCTCCACAACTTCTTCCCCACAGTATCAGGGTGCAAGTAGGATGGGACTGCAGAAGTAAGGGCACTCTCTTTTCCCTCTTACCCTTAGTACACCTGCCTTCCATGTTATATATCTTCATCTGGTGCCCAGTTCCATCATTAACTGAGGAGGGGCAGATGGTACCTCCTTCTTTTATGGTGATGCCTCTAACATTTCCACTATATCACTCAGTCATCAGGAGCGGCTTACAATGCTATTTGGCTTTTACAAAAGAACTAGATATAGGGAAGGAAGGAGAGAAGGAATAAAGACACAGAGGAAGGAAGGGAGAGATGGAAAGAAACAAGAAGAAATGCAAAGAGTGAAATAAAAACCTCTTGACTGCTGCAACAAATTCTTATTTTAAGTCAATATGAAGACTATTTAAGTGTACACCAAAATACAGAATCTAACTGGGGAAAAAATAGGGTAAGCCAGAAATCTAAACAGATATTTAGGTGATGCCGAGTCCATAAACATGATAATGATGAAATAATATTAACTGAGTCCTCTGTGTCCTGGGAAAGGGACTTGATTAAAATTGCTTTATTTAATTTCATTTATAAAACACTCAGAACTAGTATGTCCATTTGCAGATCCACAAACTGAAACAAAGGCATCTGAAAAACTTTGCAAGTTTGTAAGGTTACTTAGTGACAGATCCAGAGTTTGAAACCCAGGCAGTTTAACAAAAGGATGCTGTTCTAAATGCTCTGAAAAACATCATTTCTTCTATTATTGTGATATTTCCATTTGCTGAAGATTTTTTAAATGTTATTAGATATAAGAAGACACATGGCATTTGAAATGACCTTACTTTTTTCCAACTGTCAGTAACTTGTTTCACGCCTTCAACAGAGAGTACCCTGGCTTTATTATCTAGTTACGTAAATATGCGTTTCCTATACCAAGAATATTGTAAGCATCCAGGAAAAAGGAGTAATATTTTTCTGGAGTTCTATTGAATCTATTTTTTTTTCTTTGAACTAGAATAATACTAACATTTTCATAATGCTGTAGAGCATCCAAAGTGCTTTCAAAAATTCAATCTTTTTTGCTTCTCAGAAAAATCTATTACTATTAGACCATTTCAAAAATTTAGGAATTCAGGCTTAAAGGAGATAAGTAACTTTATATCACACAGTAAGAGATGAAAGTGGATTTGCAGTCCAATAATTCTTACCTTAAAGTCATTACTTTTCTTACTATAATTTATACTATAATAGTTTATGGAGGGTAGGCATTTAATATTTTAATTAAATCCCCCTTACCAAAAAAAATGGCATCTTTGTTTCTGATAGTCCTCCAATTGATGCATTGCCAGGCAATTCTCTTCAAATGTGGGATATATTTAAGTGGTTCAAAATATTCAAATTCAGACTTCTAAATAACCACTTGCTGTTTTGCCGGGGGCAAATAAAAGTACACAGTCTTCTATGAAAGAAAAGAGAATGCTGACTTCCTAATCTTAGGAAGAAAGATCTAAATAAAAATTTGTGAAGGGCACTGGCAAATGCGTTCTCCCTCTTATTATTCTTTATTAAAATTCAAATCTAGTTTACTATTTGCAGGTAGAAATACTAACACAAAAGCTCATTTTAATTCAACAAGTTAGTAGTACAGTGAATCACAAACAGTATCCTCCGCAGGACCCTCATTCACAAATTGTTCTTAGATTCAACATATGACAAAGTGCTGACTATTCTCTGTTTACACACATCCACACTCACTAGTCAAGAACTGCAGTGGAGAGCTTGGGTATCCCAAATCCTAGAGTTTGTTTGTTTCCAACAAATATAGTCCAAAACAGGGAGAATTTTTTTTGCAGCCTGGCATTAGCTTCCATGTGGCTACACAGTTCGACAATGTTGGAACAGATGGGACTTTGAATGTGTGCTCTGCACAGGGTGGTGTGGAGGAGGCAAGAAAAGCAGCAAAGGACCTTCAACCTCAGCCACTGAAAGCAGTGTGCCTGACAATCTCCTACTGGATTAGACAAAATTTTGTAAAGATTGTAAACTCTCTTCTTTTCTTCCTATCTACACTTCTTGAGAAGGGAGACTTTAGTAATGAAAAGGGCTTTGAAAGTATAATTTTAGCATATCAATGAACAATTTCAAAGGGAAACTTACTCCATTTATATTTTAAGAGCAGAACTTGTTTAAAAGAGTCAATTCAGTGAATACAGGGGAAAAAAAGTACTCACTTGAGTGAAATTTGGAATATATGATGCATGATTGTCTTTAATATATATATATTGCATAATAATCAGTCTTTTCTCTGTAAATTCCTCAAAACCCCTTTCATTTTTTTCTGTTCTTGGTTTTTGTCTTACTCTCAGAATTATAATTGTATCATCTTTCTATCACTAAGGACAGAAGGTTGAAATGTATCTTAATTTTTCTGGTGGTGTTACCATACTATACCCACCACCAATGCCTCTAGATCATATACCATATTGTAAATTTATTCTGCCTCAATAAAATATATTTTCTAAAATAATTTAGTATGATTGTGCATTATTATACTATTTAAATTAAATATCTGGATATTCTGAAAAGGAAAGATTTTGTACAATAATATTTTATGCAATTACTATGGCCTTATCTGAAAATTGAAATCAATATCCCAACATAGATGACTATTATAAAGCAGACAAGTGTTTGGGATTCCATGGATATAAGTCAATCTTTTTTGACTTTTCATAATTAACTGAATTGTGCTCCAATGACTACAAAGAAATTCCTAATTTACTAATATTCTCAGACTAAAAATTATGAAAATGCCACAGACTCATTTTTGAAGTATACCTCTCCATACAGTTAATCAGCATGTGATCTAAGCAAACATACTCAAACTTTGAAGCAAGAGATAATGAAACAAAGGGGTGGGATACCTGGAGGTAGGGACACTATGCGGATTCTGGAGCTCATTGTGTTGATGCTACTACAGGCCTCCTTCACTAATAATCAGTTTAGTGTAACAAAGTAGCCCCAGGGAAAGGGGAGGTAGCCGCAGAATGACTATCATACACCATTTCTGAGGCATATTTTCCTCAAATTACGTAGTCCTCAATTTTAGTCTCCATCCTTCCTGCTAACCCTATGAGTACCATCGTTCTCTTAATAAAGTGTTTCAGCTTAAATCATCTTGGTTTTTTGTTGTCTTTGTTTTTAAAGAAAACAAGTCAAAATTCAAAGCTGTTTCCTTGATTCAGAGAGATATTTTGCTTCTATTTGGGAGCCTTGTCTGTGTTCTTAAATCCATTTTGTGAGCTTTTGATTTCTAGGAGGTCTAAGACACCACAAATTAGACAGCAAATTGCCACTTAATGTGACACTTCAAATACATCTAACATCAAGCATTTAAAGATAAAAAGTAAGACAAGTACCTAAAATTACAGATATCAAATAACATATATCATAAAAAAGAGATAAAAGAAAGGATTCATTATCTTCATAAGTAACCATCTCTAAAGAACCGAACTCAAAAGTTCAATACAAAATATCACATTGTTATCAGGCAGAAGGAGGGGCACCCCAGGATCCCCAAACCTGACTGCCCTGAATGGGTTCTGCTAATCCCCAAACCTGATTGCCCTAAATGTTTCTGTTTGAGACCAAACATACTCTAGTGTGTAAGACCTGCAATGGACAGGAATATTAATTCAATTAGTATGCAACAAAGAGAAGAGAAGGCAAAGTATAGATAAAATAGTGTCCCCATGAAACACCCAAAGTTACGTATCTCCTTAGGGTAATTGCCCAACCAAACAGGGTTGGACCAAAGCAGGGCCACTGAGACCCAAAAACAAGGCACAAGTGTATGGCTCTTTCTGGCGGGGACCCATGGGAAGGGGCAGAAAGGGCCAGGCAAGTGTAGAAGGAAAATCAAAATGAAAACCCAGGCATCCCCTGTGGCTCAGTGGTTGAGCGCTGGGTTGCGAAGATGCCTGCAGCCTCTGCAGCACCAGTTCAATCCCCAGCCACCGGGCAAGGGTCCCACATGGCGCGCAGACCTCTCCTGCCATGCCTGCTGCTTCCCTCAGTAGTGTATTTCATCAGTCTGTCTGTTCTGTTCCCCGCTCTGGCTCTGGTGAATTCTCTCACCCTCCCACGCTTCTGACTGTACCCAGTGCTTGTATAAATAAATAAATAAATAAATAAATAAATAAATAAATAAATAAATAAATAAATAAATCTTAAAAAAAAAAATGAAAACCCAAGTCAAAACAAAAGCTGCCATTATCAGCTTCCCTGTGGATTCCTTACCCACTTCTCTGTCTCCATCAAGTGTCTCCGTCCTTATTCCCCACGTCCCAGTTTAAGTCTAAGACCAAGGTAGGAATGAAGCTTCTTCACAGGTCTCTCTGCTCCATGTACCTGGTTCCTCCAGTCTTCTTGAGCTCTATCCTTCCTTCTCCCAGTCTTCTCTGGCTTCTCCTCCCTATCCTGCCCCACTTTTCTTAGGGTGGGGCAGGGAATCTGGAAACTCCCCTTCCCCTGGGTATTACCCTGTTGCACCACAACACTCTTTTCATTAGGTGAAGGTTGCCCAAAGTCAAGTCGATTTGACTCCTATTGCTCATCATATTTCTTATGGAATAATGAAACTTTAAGACATCATCCCTTATACTTTTTGAAAAACATAATAAAGCAGAGAATTACTAGATGAAAAGAGATCTGTTATATAATTTAAGAAGAGTCTCTTTGGGGGAATATATTATCATTTTCATAAAAGTAATTTTGAAACTAAATATTAGCTAAATAAAGAACATAACAAAGTAACAGCATGTGGATATAAGGAAACATAATCTATCCCTATAAAGGAGCCAGTAGTTAATTCTATAACAGGAAAAATATACTTTAAAATGTATCATTCACTTTTCACGAAGATGGCGCCGAAAGCAAAGAAGGAAGCCCCTGCCCCTCCCAAAGCCGAGGCCAAGGCAAAAGCTTTGAAGGCCAAGAAAGCAGTGCTGAAAGGCGTCCACAGCCATAAGAAAAAGAAGATCCGCACTTCACCCACTTTTCGGAGGCCCAAGACATTGCGACTCCGAAGGCAACCCAAATATCCGCGGAAGAGCGCTCCCAGGAGAAACAAGCTTGACCACTATGCCATCATCAAGTTCCCTCTTACCACTGAGTCAGCCATGAAGAAAATAGAAGACAACAACACACTTGTGTTCATTGTGGATGTCAAGGCCAACAAGCACCAGATCAAACAGGCTGTGAAGAAGCTCTATGACATTGATGTGGCAAAGGTCAATACCCTGATCAGACCTGATGGAGAAAAGAAGGCCTATGTTCGACTGGCTCCTGACTATGATGCTTTGGATGTTGCCAACAAAATTGGGATCATCTAAACTGACTCCGGCTGGCTAATTCTAAATACAATTTTTCACCATAAAAAAAAATAAATAAATAAAATGTATCATTCAATTTTGTCTTTGATGATGGAGAGGAAGTTGATCCTCCAAAATCATTATTATTTTTAGCTCACAGCATATTTTCTAAACTTAGTAAGATAAACCAAACAAACATAAAATTTGAGATTTTAGCATGGTCAAAAAGATTTTTCCTGAACTCACTTTAATTTCATATTGACATAAAATGCTTGCCTCATATCTAGAAACATGTATTTTTAGATCTGAGTATATGATTCACTTTTAAGAACTTTCTTAGTTTTATCTATGTCTAATTCCATGACAGTTGTAATTTTCTTTAGAAATGAACTATTCTTTTCATTATATCACCTTCAGTATTCTTCCAACTTGAATTCCATGGCTAATAATTTTGAAATTATGGCATAATCAATTCATTCACTAATTTTAGCATAATCAATTTAGTAGATTGATCATTATTTTTGGAAAAGACAAAATCCATTATGTGATGACAGCATCGAGTGAAAGACGCAAGTAAAAATCAATAATCAATAATATTCAAAATGAAAAGCCTGAGTCTTCTGGGCTATTTCAGGACTTTTTCTACTTTTCTTCTAGATAATTTTATATGAAGGTAAAGCTTAATTTATTCAATGCTAGGTAAAACCTTTTCAGCAGATGTTTTCTATCTAATACTATGAGAATAGATCTACTCAGGAGGAAACAGCTGCATTAAAAATTCTTAAATTAACACTCTAGGTTCCTCCAGATTCATAAATATATAGAATTCGACAAATAAAATACTTGAGGAAAAAATAACCTTGTGGGAACTTACTCGAAATTCACTTCCTGCTGTGAAGTATTTGTTAAAATAGATAAGGGAGGCCAAAAACTGGGGATTTCAGCAGTGATCACTGCAAATCTGTAAGAAGTTTTACCTTTTTCTCATTGTCTTCAATACAGTTTCTTTATTTGTAAGAGTGTACAGTAGAGAATTCTAGAGGACACTCCTCTCTCTCATGCTCCTGGGCAGATAATCACAGATAAGGAGAGGTTTGGGTTTTCAACTCATCAGATGAATTATCAATAAATATCAAAGGTTATTTTAAGTATAGAAAACCCCAATTTTACGGTCATGAAAGCCAGAGATCCAGAGTGGAGAAAGAAGTGAAGAGAGAGGGGTCATAAGTTAAGGAGGGTGTAAAGAAAAATTGAATTGGTAACCTCAACCTACACTGCTGACAGTCTCCTCACTATGAGGCTCTGAAGCTTTCAGTCACAAAGAGAAACTTTCTATTTTACTTTAGGAAGTGATTGGGGAAAAGAGCTTGTACTCTCCACATTAACTCCTCTATAAAATTTTTGACATGATAAATATAAAACAGTAATAACAGTAAACCCCTGTTTGTATTGTCATCTGCAAATTAAATGATTTAGAAATATTATAGTTCCCTTACATAATTGACATAAGTAATCCTCAAGATAAAATTCCTTACTCAGGGCTCTTGTAAGAATTATGACCAAATTTCCTTTTCAACATCCTCACAAGAAATAATCATCTAATGCTAAATCCCCCTGACACTTACAAAAGAAAAAAAAATGCAATTTGAAATGCCATTCTCAAAATGTTGTATTACTAAAAAACATACATATACTAAATCCACAGGGACATTTCATAGGTTCCTTTGCTACTTATTTTTACTAAGTATTTTATGTTAAGTGTTACTGGTATTGAGCTTAGGTGAGATCAGTTTTTAAATGAAACCCTTAAATGACAAAACATGCTATAAATTATTTCTTTTTCTGAAAGGCACCCTGCATAGTATTGATGAATTTCAGCCACGTGTCTTTGCCAATTAATTTCAAGACTAGCACACTGACAGCTTACAAAATCTTGTACATATTATCCATTTCTCTATGAAAAGAAGTGTTTCTCTTTTATAGCTATACTTCAGTAATAAGGGCTATATAATTTGCCACATGAAACCTCTTCTGGATCACAAAGGCTGTAGCTATTCTCCCTCCTATAACAAAATGTTTCATAGATGAACAGTGCTCTCCTGTGATCAAAGAAAGGAACTGCTTGAATAATAAAACAGGTAATTACTGCCTTTTTATTGCCAATGTTTCACTTCCTGTTTTCTTATTAACAGGAATACCTTCTATGTAAATTATGCCCACTAACTGTTTGAGGAAGTCTTTCTTTTTCTTTCCAAAGTAAACATGTTACTTTACTAATTATTTTGTCCATATAATTATAATTGAAATTCTAGCACATGTTTACAGTCATATGGTAAAAAATAGGCTGTGAAAAAAATAAATCTTTCTAGAGCTGATCACATAAAGTTTGCCAAATTGAAAGATACATTATTTGCAAAATTGTCCCATATAAACCAACAGGCTTGAGTAAAATTAGAACCTTGAATTCATCAATTCAGTCAGCCCTCCTTTTATCAAAAAGTTAGAAAAACTTATGCCGAAGCTTCAGGAAAAGAGGTTCTGAAGATATTCGCCATATTAAATGCCCACAATTCACAAAACATCAAAGAGCACATATTCCCAAACAATTCCTATTGCTATGAAGAAATAGAGGTTTAGGCTTCTACCAATCATGTTTTATATTCATGAGAGGAGTTTCCTGATGTTTCTGTAAAACCACCATAATTTCCACTGACACATTTATCTAACGGTTGATGTCATTTTAGTGAGAATAGGAGGGCAGGTAGGAAGCTTGTTCCCTGTGAGCATTGATCCAAAACACACTGCACACAGGTCTGTCAGAGCAGCCTTCTTTGGGGAAAGGAAGCCCAGTTGCTACATAATCAGACTCTGCCACCTAGATTAATGTCTTACAGAAAAGGCTAAAATGTGTGCCTCTCTTGAAATTGTAGCCACGTATCTACCACATAAAACATTGTGCAGGGGTTCTGAAAATCTCTTCTATCAATACCAAAATAGTCAGAACGCTAGTTATTTTCTCTATATGTAATACACATCTCTATACCAACATAGGTATCATATAAATATTAATTGTGGTAGAGTTGGTATATACCGGCTGTGGATGCATATGGACCCTTCTTACTGTAGCTGGACATGATCACAGCTAGCAGGACATTAGGGCAAACATTTGCCACCCACCTGCCAAAGCTCCTAGTAACAGTACTGACAGCAAGGAAGCAAGGGATCAATTGCCAGAGAGATTAAAACCCCGGGTAAAAGCAATCTCAGGGAGGCATACAAGAATCTGACCTGTGTACTCACATGTAAATCATGTTACTTGAACAAAGAGAACACCCATATCTAGGGCAAGAGCTCACCAGACACACAAATGTTCTCCAATTAAACCAATGCCCCATTGAAACAATTTGCTACCTAGGATTTTTGAGGAAGGTAATGGGAGTTATTTAAATTTACAGAATATGAAACTGTAAGGGAGGAAAACCTCAGGTATTGGCAGTGATAGAGAAATTAGGGGTGAGGATATTGAAGGGAGTGTGGGTAATGCAGCACAAAAAATTAAGTCATTTTCTCACTCTAACAATATTTTTGAAGTTTTGAAAACAAAACAAATCAAAACATAACCTGGAAAATGCTTTCCAGAAAAGAGAAATTCATCTGCTCAGTCCTGTATGTGATATTCTGTTCCTCTCTCTAGTTTTAGGAATTAAAAATCCACATGCCCACCACAATATACATCCACTCCACATTCCTTGTATTAACAACTGATGTGTGTGATAGCTAAGTGAATATCAACAATATGACTCCACAGTGGAGGTTTTGTCCTGTGTGGGACCATGACCAATGTCTACCCAAAACACCCTGTCCTAAAATTTGGAACTGAAACTGATATAGGGATAACATGGAAATGTCAGAAACTGCTATTCCACTACCATAAAGAACAAAGAAGCAGGTTAACTAATCTGGAGGGAACATAATGGCAAAAAGAAGGAAAAAGATATTCTAAATGAGTTTCGGGGGAATAAGGAGAAAGAATCTTGACTGCATTTGACTCAAGTGTCAGGAGTCCTTTGTGACCACCTATGTTGCTACCTTAGGTGCTCATAAGCATTCCTAAGTTGCATCATTATAGAAATACTCCTTTGTGATCTAAGATAGCAAGAAAAATAATTCTTTCAGGTATTAGTCTTGTGAAACATGTACTATGACAACTCAAGATTCAGAGTGCTAGTAGGTAGTGACCCTATGACAAATCTGTTAAAAAAATGCATTTTAAATTATTCACTCAGATACATTATACATATAAAAATAACAATGTTGTTTCTAAAGCATGGTCTAGTAAAGATTGCATATTTGTAAAAATTATTAAAACATGCACTAATGATCCTCTACCTAACATGTGACTGACTACCCAATATCCCCTGTCTCCTTCTTCTGCTAGAGTCACCTCAGAAGTTAACAAAGGATAATTTGTAAGGGGGATTTTACAGATTTTCCTTTTTACTGAGACAGGACACAATTGGCAGAGCGGGTTCTAGAGAATAATACTACATATGAAGGAAATTAAAACCGATCAAACAACAATGTGGTGTGTGCATGCCTATACATACATCTGTGTATGTTTGTGTGGACGTATTACAACACACCCAAACTGAATAATCACAATTCACAAATTGTCATAGTAGCTATAAATTTATACTTCAGAGTCTAAAAACCTAATATTATGTTTTAGGATGGGAAATTTTCAGGCTAATAACAAGGCTACAATGATTTTGTAGTCCACTGGACAATGACCTGCTAGAGGGAAATATTAACTTGTCTTATGCATCTTTAAAATAGATGGTGATATGATATAGCAAAGCAGAAAGAGGATGGAATTAGGAGGAATATAAAAGCTGTATTTAATCCAGATTCTGATTTTTAATGCCTGTGTGAACTTTGGCCTTCAGATTTTATATAAACTGTCGGCACTGTACCTATAAATGTAATTCCTTTACCCATTTAGCAACAATTTAGGAAATTTCATTTCCATGTCAGACATGCAAGTATTTAATGAATGACT